GGCGGGGCGGCGATCGAGTGCGGAGAAAAAAAAAGAAGTAGAAAGGCAGCCACTAGCAGAGGGCGGCACAGAACAGCCATGCTCATCGCCTCCCTCTTCCAGTGTCTGCAATGCTTACGTGTTACGCGCTTTTTTTTTCTTTCTTTGCAGTTTATTCGGTCCACCTTTCTTTTTTTACGTTGCTTGCGTGCTTCCATTACATCGTTTCTGGCCCTTGCCCTGGGAATCCTTCGAGGCCTCCTTGGTGACTACCCGTACCGCACCCATCCGGCAATCTTGATGTCCTCCTCGTCGGTGATGGTGTACGTCTTGGCATCGGCATCGTGGCGCATAGGGATCTCGCGCGAGTAGTTGTGGTGCGGGGCGGGCCACACGGTGTTCTCCCAGTTCTGCTCCGCCACCAGGACAGAGCCGCTCGTCACGTCAACAACGACGGCGACGTGCCCGAACGGGAAGTCCGTGCGCTGCTTTGGGTATATCAGCAGATCCCCAACACGTGGCGCCGATCCTCCAGTGTCGGCCGGCGCCCCGTTGGCGTACTTCAGCAGCGGCACCGTTGAACCATTCAGCAACTGCACAGTTGTCAGTGACCAAATATCAGAAGCTCCGTCCACAGAGTCAAAGGTTGCGCCAACCGGGCTGCCGCGCATCATCCAGTACCGCCTCGCGTACTCAACGCATTGCCACTTAAGCCCGCTCTTGTTACCTTTCCCGTCCATAATGGTGTTCCATTCATTGGTGACGAAGCTCTCGTTGCAGTTGCTGTACGCAAAGACGCCGTCGTGCACGCCAATCATAGCTCCAAAAGGTGTGGTGCACTCTGGTACGGAAGGGTCGTCATGCCAGCCCTCACCATGGTAGTGAATCCCAGAGTACAGAATACCGAACACGATGAATGCGAGAAACAGGGTCAACAGGATCGCCACTGTCCATCCAAATACCATTGTCAGGATTGGATTGACGCGTTCCATGCGCTGCTGCCAGCGACCCTTTGGTTCATCCTGGACCTCGACAAAAGCGGCGTCCCCGTTCTGGGGGTCAATAGTTGACTCGGCCGGCTCAGTACAGTACACGTCCCTTTCTGCAGCCTCATATGGCAAATCTTCCAAGACTCTGTCTTGGTGTGTCATTTGCGGCGTTGGACTTTCAGACGAAGAGAAAGTACAGTAACTTGGCGCTCCTTCCGTTCTTTGTTATTCTTGGTTGCAACACGAAACCCACAAATGGAACGTGTGCGAAACCTCTTAAAAGTGAAAGTGAACCTTGGAGTTGTCGCGGTCTTCTGCGAATGTGCGCGTGTGATGTATGTGTGTTTCTGTCACGGGAGGTATATGGAGATATATATATATATATATATCGTCGTAACAGGCCCAGACAACGTAGCACGCCTCTGCACACGGGAATTAAGGTGGCGAATGAGAACAAACACTACAACGATAAAGGAGGAAGAGGCAGAATGGGAAACACAAGCGAAACGAAAAAAAAAAAAGAAAAAGAAAATAAAGGAATGCGAAGAGAAGTGCAGAGAAGAAGGTGCCAGCAAGCAAGCAAAACAAGCAAGCAAGCAAACAAAAAAAAAGGGATTTTGGAAGTGCAGAGGAGTGTTGGTGGTTAGCGGAATAGCCGAGAAGAGAGATATACATGCCACATCAACAACAGTAGGTGCAGTGTCGGGGGCTCAGGGCCCCGCGCCAGGCGAATCACATCCGCACCCGCCTGCGTACTGCCGCTCACGCTTTCTCTGTCTGCGTGCATGTATATATTTCAAGGGCTGCTTGTTTCTTTCGTTTCATTCCTTGTGTTAAAGCTACGCTTCTACTTTCCACGTTTCTCCGCACTTGAGGCAGCGCACGATGACGGCCATGTTATCATGGGCCTGCACCGAGTATTCGTTGGCGACCGCCTCACGAGCGCCGCAGCTGGGACACGCGTGCAGTGTCGTGACGTTCCCGAAGGTGCTGCCGTCCGCCAGAGGCGACTCCGGCTCCGTGACGGACAGACTCAGGCGGCGGTCGCGGCCGCTGCCTGCTCCGTCCACGCTGGCACGGCGCTGCAGACGCAGCAGCAACTTGCGTGGGTCGGTGGCGTTGGCCAC